GGATGATAAAGAAAACCGCAAGAACGTCATCCGGGTAGGTAGGTTTTTTTTTTTTTTTTTAATATAAAAAGATTTTCTGTGACAAAACGCGTGCCGACATTTTCATACCTGTCACCCGCATTATTTCCATACCTGAAATAAATTTTTTTTATATAAAACTAATAATAATAATAATAATATTAAATTTAAATAGGATTAATTAACAAGTACCCCATACCAGATGCGCGCGTGTAAAAAAAAAAAAATTAACTCGATAATTACGTCAAATATTGTTTTTTTTTTTAAACGATCACAAAAGAAAAAAATCGTACCTGAAATAACACCTGATTATTTAATTAACTATTATTATTATTATCGTCATTGTCATCGAACATGTAAAAAAAAAACAATTGAAAACGAAGACGACGACGCCATATTTGTTACATTTGGTACGTTTTCAATTTCCGCACTTACAATAATTTTTTCAATCGAAACATTTTATTTTATATTATTATTATTATTATTAATATCTTAAAGGAATTCGTAACCGTTTTGATATGAAGATACCTGACACAAATCCGCCATTTTGAAATTTAACCGTCGAAGATCAAATAAGTAACTAATAATAAATAATAAATTTAACGTTTGTATACTCTCTCTCTCTCTCTCTCTCATGTCGTATATCATCACCCTCGTTCATTTTTTTTTTAACCTAACGTTATTATTATTATTATTATTATCATCATCATCATCATCATCGTGGTAGCCGTCGAAAGGCTGAAACTATTGTAAAAATTTTTTGGCCAATTTTTTCTTTTTTTTTTTTTCTATTCATAAAAATTGTTTGTTTTTGTGATGTGAAACCGTTTTCTCTCTCTCTCTTTTGTTTGCCTTAATATTATTATTATTATTATTATTATTATTATTATTATTCTCTTGATATTTCTTTTCCCATTTAAATTCGTTTTATTCTTGTTACCTTTTTTTTCCTTTTTCCTTTTTTTTTGTCGGCGGTAAAGTTAAATAAAGTAGTTTAATAAATAAATTAATAATAAATGTAAATATTACTTTTTATAAAATTCTCTCCTTCGGTGGTAAGAGGAAGGGGGAGGGAGAGGGGGAGAAAAATTATTATTATTATTATTATTATTATTATCCGTAATAAAAAGGTTTTTATTTAATTTTTTTTTTTATGAAAAGGATTTTTTTTAAGAAAAGTCGATGAGAAAAAAATTTTTTTTATTGAGTCTACTCAAATAAAAATGATAATAATAATACTTATATTTCCGAAGAATCAAACCTGAAAAACCTGAAATAAATTTCTGGGCAAATACGTGAAATAATAATGATGATAATAATTTTTTGTTTAAAATAATGACGATGGTTTAAAAAAAAAAAAAAAAGTGTTCCCGGTTAATTTTGGAAAAGGTTTTACGTAATCATAAATGTTTGCATTTAGAAAAAAATCCTCTCGATTTAAGAGAGGATCCCCACCCTCCCTCCCGGGAAAATTCACAACAACCCCGTAAATTTTATGAATGGTTTGTAAATTACGATGAATCTCAATTACACTTAAACTTTTTGAGTATTTGATCAACCGTGAGAAATCGGCAAACATTTCGAGACATAAGAAAAAAATTTTTTTGTATTCCTTTTTCCATTCATGAATTTTCTAAAAACCGATAATGAAAATCAAATGAACCTGAAAAAAAAAATTCTTAACCTTAAGTACCTGACTTCATTCATGTTTTTTTTTTTTTATGTAATTTTATGGTGGATTTCTCATGTTTTCCTTTTTTTTGTCCTTTTTTCTTTTTTTACACCGAAAAATAACACCACCTACTATTACTAATACCAACCTCTTGACTTTAAAATTTAATACCGTCGTTAATATAACACCAGGTGTTAGGTACCAACACACACACACACACACAATAACCATTAAAGCCCTTTCAAGTTGTTTTTTATTATTATTATTATTAAAAATCGTTGAAGTGAACATTATGAGCCATCATTACAAGTTTTATTTGTGTCATATCTCTCTCTCTCTCTCTCTCTCTCTCTCTCTCCTTCTCTTTTTTTTACTTTACCGTCATATACGAATGATAAATTAATGTTAAGTTAAAAAAAATTATATATTTGTTTATAAATTTAAAGAACGTAAAAATGAAAATAATAATAATAATAATAATTTTCTACAAAATTTATTTTTATGAAAAAAAATATTCGATATATCGAAAAACTAGAGGGTGATCAATAAATCGGGGAAAGAAAAATTTTTTTATTTGGATTTCACTTCGATAACTTTTTATAAATAAATTATATTCAATGGTTTCATTATTATTATTATTATTATTATATTTTTTTTTATGTAAATACATCATAACACGTGTGATATTCATTTTGTTGTTGTTAATGGTAAAAAAAATTTTTTTCCTTTTTTTTCCTTTTTTTTTTTTTTGGTGTGGGAGGCAACCGTTTCCGTTTCATTTCTTTCCTCGGTTTTTTTAAAATTTATTTTTTTCCGTTTAAAAAGAAAGAAAAAGTTTGGGATTCTTACGAAGACACTGCCCAACTAAAACTCTTTCCCGGTGGGAGGGGCT